GGTCAGCCCTGATGGGGCGGCCCCCGTGCGCGCCGCGGGTCGCTCGGGCGCGTGGCGGCGTTCGTTCGGACCCTCTCCGCACCTCTCTAACTCTTCTAGAAGCCCGTTGATTTCTCAGCGCGATGCAGATGTGGTTCTGCCCTCTGTGGGGTGTTGAACGTGAGATAGCTTGGGTGCGGAAAGCAAGCTGTATGTTTTGTCCGTGTTGGACGATAGAAAAATCGGTTCCGTTTTCCAGCGGTAACAAAGATAAAATTGCACAGTAGATGAGGCCTTGGCCTGGGGACAGGGTTTGAAAAGTTGTTTTCCAGTAAGATAACCAGTGTTTCTTTCTCTCCTGCTCTCGTTTCCCTTTCTCCGCAAAGGCAAGAGAGGTTATATCGAAGTTCACTAAATTAGTTTGAGGTGATTGCCGTGAAGGTTAAAACATGAAAGCACGTGCTTATTATGGGAGTAGCCGTTGGCTCTGCACTGAGGGCAGTATTTTGTTGTCGTATTTGCGTGGAAGCGTGTCTGAAAGTCATTTGCAATATAGATATGTGAAATTGGGTAGGAGGATCTATATTGGAAATGAGCGGAATATGGACTCGTTCTCCCTTCAATAGGCCAAAACGTAATTTAATAATGATCGTTACTAAACTGGATTTTAATGCGGTGAGGTCCAGTTTAGTTTCATTTATACAGTCCAGCTCAAACCAGGTTATTATGCACGTCAGGTATATCTTTTATTAAATCAGTAGTATTGGCTGAATGGATAGGGCCACGTTTATAGAGCTAGCGGGAAGTTGAAAGCTGTAAAGAAATTAACTGTTGGACCTCATCTGATGACAGGCAAAGGACTTGCAAATGACGCTTATGATAGCTGATTTTCAGCAGTTTCCACGGAACTGTGAGGGAAATTTTAGAATGGAAATTAGGCTGTCAGATAGCTGTAGTTAGCCATATTAGCAAGATTGCTTTAAAAAAAATAATAAACTAAACGAACTTATAGATTCGTAGTAGAATTTGCAGTGTCTTAAAGTGATGCTGTCACACTTGACTTATTCTTTATAAATTGAATCGATTATTTTAATGCAACCTTTAAAAATTTGGAAGAGAAAACTCATTCTGTTCCTGTATTGGTCAGTATTCTGCATGCAATAATATCCCCTATGTGTTAATATATCTTAAATAATACAAAACAGGATTCGTGTAATAAATACTAAGAGAAACTGAAGGACTGGTCTCTATAAACATGCTTGAAAAATATTTTCCGGGTTATGGCCCTCTTTGACATATCACTGCAGCTGAATATAGTAGTGATTCTGACATAATTTAATCTTAACTAAACGTATTAACGCTTGTTTCCGACGTGTGAAATTGTTAAAACAAAATGCAGGTTTCTAATGTATACAGAATAGCGGACGTTGCAGAAGGAGAGAGGCAGTGAGGCAGACTGGGAGGTAGGATGAGTGCTGCAGAAGAGAGGGACTCCGGTGAGCGCCTGTCCTGCGGGAAGGTCTGCGGAGGGACCGTCCGCTTTGGCCGCGGCTGGCCCGGCGGCACGGTGTAGTTTGGAATCAGCCACGAGGTTTGTTGCCGTTTGCCCAGCCAAATGGGATGCAGGGGAAGGAGCTCTAGGCAGTACGTGTACTGGGGCAGTTTGGAGGAGCCATAATGGCTAGAGGGAAGTTGGTATTGTTTTTCTTTGAGGGATTAGGGCATGTATATCAGATTTCCATAGGAGATCAGGCTTTGATACTCTGGCTTGAAGAACAGCTCTGTAAATGTTGCATTTTATGAAGGGAAAAAGTCAACAATGAAAAAACCCCAAGGTCATATGAGTGTATGGGGAATTATCTTTAACGTGTGCATCTGAAGGAAGGGAGAAACCTAGGAAATGAAGTATATACAGCATGAGTAAAGAGTACACTCTTTATATATGGTTCTTCTGTAGTGTTGTATTTGGCATTGGGATCCTTGTAACCAGACCGGTGCTCCAACTGGATTACAGGGTCTTCAGAGGAAAGACTGTGGTAATCATTTTCATAAAGGAAAGGTGCAGAGAAGAGCCATAAGGTAATTAGGAAGCTGATGGGTTCCCCTGAAGGGATTATCACTGTATTGAGTGGTTCATTTAACCTGTAATTAGAGTTGCGAAGATGTTCCCCGACTTTTAGATGTTAAAATGACGTAAGGAGAAAATTTATATTTAATAAGAAAATACCGCATTATAGCTTACGAGGAAAAGGATTCACCTATAGGAAGCTCGGGTTGTATATCAGGAAGAACTGGGATAAAGGGATGAGTGACTCGTAGAGAAACGATTTGTATATCGTGTCATCCAGTTATGTCTGAAACTCACCAACCGGGCTGAGCTGGACATGCTTACTCTGGTCAGTCTTTGAAAGGAGAGTTCCTGGGTGATCTCTTGAAAGGGTGGAGCTTTTATCCTGTCTAGAAGGATTCAGCATATTGCAAATCATATTTAAAAACACTTGTATATTTTGGTTAATAGGTGGGCCTGTTCACGCAGGACATGATGTGTTTTGGGGAGAAATACTGAAGTGGCTTTGTTAGTGTGAGTAATCACAAATCTTGAACTGGCAATATTTACTTTCCAGCCCTTGCTTTTAGATTTTGAAATAATACTTTTATTTCCATCCCTATTACTTCTGATGAGATTTTACATCCGTCAGTACTAGAAGCAGTTTGATACCTGTGAAGTGTTGTTGTTGTTTTTTAAACCCAGCATTGTCCACAGCGGTGGTGGCATGTTTCATTATGAGAGAGCTGTGGCAAGTACCACTACTAACTGTAGCTGTTCCTGGCTCTGTGTTGGGCTGTGTATTACAGTTTGTGTGTCACGGTTTTAGAGCTCTTGCTGCATGTAACCTAAAAGCTTTCCATAAGCTCCTGGTGATTAGGAGAATATTTCGTTTAGCAATCTTAGGTATGCTCATGTTCTTAGCATGTAGCAATGCTGTTAGATTAGCAGTGAAGCAGAAATGATGAATACGTTCTTTAAAGATAGGTGTTATCAGACTGTATTTCTAGTTTGAGTTTAATATTGGCTATGTGAAAAAGTATTTTGAGCTGCTTTAACTATTAGGTCAACTGAGGTAGGAACTCTTGGATTTATAATGAGGTCTCTGCCCTCAAAAAACATTGTCAAGTAGAGTATTTTTCTGGAAGATCCGGTGGAAGTTATAGAAGAAATTTGTGTAACTGTATGTTTTTAGCATCATTGATGCACTGCTTTTCCTTCTTGGGAAAGTGAAGTGCATTGTCTGTTTTTGTTTTTGTTTTTTGCTTCCTTTGTTTTTTTTTTTTTTCACTTTTATCAGCTTTGTCGTTGTATAGTGTCCAGAGGCAATCCTGGTGGTGTTCTTGCTGCAGGGCAGTGCCCTGGTCACTTTTGGTTGTGGTGCCATGCTATGAGCTGAACCAGAGAAGTGAGCAACTGCCAAGAAAACTTACTTTGGTGCATAATTTTTTTAGCCAGATCAGTTCTGCTCTCTGATTTGCCACATAGCTTGAAGACTAGTGGGCCACAGCAGGGTTTGGTGATGTAACATCTTAAATTCACGTAGCTGATGCATGCTTAAGATACTCTGTAATGACAAGCCATAAGCTCACCTAGAAATGAGGACAGGTAGTTTAGAGTCGACTCTTCACAGACCAGCAACAAATTCTTTGTTAGTATTTTGGCAACCTCTGTGCTAGGTGCTCAAACCCACTGTATTAAGAAGAGTGTTTTCTGCATTAAATATGTAAACATAAATGGTGATGGGGTAATAATCAACACTGTACTTGCTCTTGATTGTAGTAAAGCTTCTAAATGCTTTCAAAATGATGTGTGAGCAGCTGCTTAAGAAACTGCCTGCTGTGGTACATTGTAAGGAGTTTTTTTTCTGTGGCTAGGAGCCTTTTGTGGCAGATGAATACATTGAACGCCTGGCATGGAGAACACCTGGAGGAGGTTCCAGAGGTGGAGAAGCTTTTGATCCAAAAAGGTAAAATGAAATTGCATAATGGTCAAAGTGAATGCATCTCTAATTGTACTGTTTTAGTACACGTATAACAGAAAGCCTGTATGTAGTTTCGGTGTTTGTCCAAGAAGGTTTTCATCTGGGAGAATTGCTAGAATTTGTGACCATGAGCCAATTATTCAGAACCAATTATTCAGTAACAAGACTAGAGAAAGTCACTCTCTGATTTAGACCTTTTGAATAAGAGAATTAATATTGTTTGTTGTGGTCAGGCATGAATGTTTCCAAAGCACTAAACTTGCTGGGTTAAAACGTGATGTGAGGCTTCACTGCTAGGAAAGTTTAAGTGAATTTAATGAGTTTTTTGCTAGTTTAGCTCCCTGAACTGACTTGCTGCAGGACTTATTCCCAGTGCTGATGGAAATTAAAGGGCATGAACAAATAGGTGGGATGGGAAGAAAGGCAGGAATGTGGCAGTTTTAGCTCAGGTTGTTTCAACCTGGGCTTGTGTGATACAGTCTGAATCAAACTAATAGTTTGCTGCTGCTGAGTGGAGATGGTCTTGGGGCCCCTTTCCTGCAGCCTCCTGGCTGCATGCTGCAATGACTCTTCTCAAGCCAGCTCTAGACACTTCTTTGATCTCATGGGAAGTTGATTTAGCTCACTAAAATGTCAAAAAACTAATCTGAAAAAAGACAGCTTTTTTACAAATCAGGACTAGCAAACTTTTGCGACTGGAAAAGCCTAAGAGCAGGTGCAAAGGGAAGAGATTGTGTGTCTGTGAGCTGGTGGTGAGGGAGGAATATGGGTGAGGAAGGAGCAAGAGCAGAGTAGGGGAAGTGAGGAAGGAGGAAGCAGAGGAGGACCTTCATTGTTTGTGGTGAGCTGTTAATTTGGCTTGGCTCTTTTGAGAAACCTCACCCCAAGTCAAGGGACCAGCTGCCTAGTTTCTGGGCCAGCATTGGGTGGTGCACTGGTAACTCAGATGCACCATTTTATATGGCAGAGTTAAACATCTAGGCTTCTGTATTCCTACCTCCTGGATCCTCTTTTATTTTGAAAAGAGCTACTATTTCAAATAATGCAACTGTTAAGCTTTTTGTCTCAGCATTGATATCCTTTCTAGCGATGTAATTGACATAAGTATTTTTGTTTCTCAAATTAGTATTAACTTGGGAGATGAGCTTGACCTTTCTACTTTTACAGTTTCTGGAAGGCATATCGGCTAGTAGGCTCAACAAAAGGTTTAGCTACCTGAACATTAATTTAGATTATGGTAGCGTATGAATTCCAAGTGCGGTAGCTGTTTTTTAGGGACTCCTCACCCACATGCTTTTCTTCCAGAATGAGATTGTAGTAATCTGAACTAGAACACTCAAGAAGTTTCGATACTTTACAGAAAAGCTGTTTTTATTCAAAGGCAGCTATGGAAACAACCTTCACTAGCGTAGTCAAAGGACACACTTTCTTGAGAAATCCAGCTCTTTGGAGGTATGCAAAAAGAAAAATGATGATGGACTTTCTAGCAAGGTGCTGAACCCTCAACATTCGTTGTAAGGTCTGCGTCCTAAAAGAGCTTTTCGTGTGAGTTAAGCAGGAAGAAGCCTGGAATTATGCAGAATTACTTCCTCTAAGTCTTTCTTCGTAATTGTCTGTAACGTATAATTTAGAGCAATCAAAGATCTATACGGATACCAACTTGATTTAAACAATCTTTTATGTTTCTTTTGGATTATGTTACCTTCTGCAATGTACTTTCATGTTTTTTAGGACAAATGGGAGAATCCTACAGCTGTGAATATTTTTCTCTTGGGAACTTTTAGTATGGGGGGGACAAAGTTAATGCCAAATGAAGACAGAGACCTTGTAGCGTGAAGGACGTGTTTTCTCTCCTCTATTTTTAGAAAGCGATGCTATAATTTTTTTTATATTGTAGAAAGGTTGTTGAATTCTTCACTTCTGTTCTCAGAAACCTGACCACTGGTTTCCTCTTCTGCTTGAGCCTTCTTTGTGCTCTTGCTGTACTGAATGCTATTGCTGAATAGCTGTATTAGTGTAATACCTTTTTTTAAAAAAAAAACACAACCCAAACTGAATTGAACAGCCCATTAAAATGAATAGAAGCTATTTGCCCTTCTCTAGGCTTTTGTTTGAAACTATGGTGTGTGTCACTGACTATCATTCAAATAATATTTTAAAAATACTTTTGTAAATTTAAGTGTATTGCTCATGATTTTCTCTGAATCTAATGTAACGTGCTTACTCTTGGGCTTCTGGCAAGCAGGAGAGCAAGGAAAGAAATCACAAGCACCTCTGCGTAGTCAAGGTTTCTTTGAGTTATGACTCTAGTTGCTTACTGTTTTAAAGATATCATTTGAAACACTGAGTTTTTAGATTAATACAGAGAACAGAGAGGCAGTTCATATGCTGCCGCAGTTCATGTACTCCAAGCAGCAGGGTAAAAGCCAGTCATTTTTAGCAGAGGTAAATACTGAAAATTCAGTGACCCTCTGCAACCGAAGAGATTCGCGTTAGTCTCATTTAGGTATCGCTTGGCTCAACCGCTCAAAGCGTTTGCAAAGACAGGTACTGTAGCTTTTCACTGGGAAGGAGTCACGTGAGGATAGATTAACAACCTTCCCCTCTTCTCTTCTGGTTGCTCAGAGTCTCCAGCCTGAGCATGGGGAGCCAGGAGAGGAACAACATGCTCCTCCTGCTTCTCAGCAGTACTGCAGGTTGGAAGGACTTCAAAGTCATTGCATATCTTCTGAATACAGCGTAAGGTGAAAATGCAGAATTCTGAGTAGTTTAGAAAGAGCTTCCTGGGAAGGATTTAGTTTTCGTCCTCTCTTCTACTTCGACATTAAACCTTGATGACAGACTTCTCCAGTCTTTATTATGTTTTTGGCTATTAGCATTAGGTCTGTGGTTGTGGAGGACCTGGGAATAATTTTATACCCTGTGCCTCAGAGACTAGGATGCTTTTAGAAGATGAAAAGATGACTGGAACGGGATAGAAAACAGGAATGAGAGACAGAGAGACATGTTGAGTATGGAAGGAGGAAGAACAGACCAAACTTAAGAATGCATTTGAGTGTATTTTGTTTGGAAAGAGTAAAATGCGAGTCTGAAAGAAAAACAAGCGACGGGGAGGGAGAAAAAAATAAATTGGTGTAAGTTATAGGGAGAAAAGGAATGAAATCAGGAAGCAAAATGGTTACAACTGAACAACATTATGAGACGATATGGTTGTTTTCATCACCTGCTAGTAGGAGGCTAGTTTATAAGATTATTATAAAATCTGTTGTACAGTAGAAAATATTTTACTGCCATAGCCGTTCAGTTGAAGGGATGAAGCAGCCTAAGATATCCTTTGCCCTGATAAGGACTGGGGATGTATAGTGGTATGTGTGTGGTGTTTTTTGTTTGTTTTGTTTGTTTTTAGAACAGTGACAGAACCAAGTTCTTGAGCAATTGGTGTCTTGCCTTTTTTTTCCTGCCACCTGCCATTTATGTGATCACATAGCTCCTGTGTCATCCTAGAGAGAATTCTGCACAGCTGGAACAGTGCAGTTTAAAAGAAAATTCCATTCGTAGGTTGTGCATGATTATAGCAACCTTTGTAGATGAGTGTTTTGTTTTTTTTTTTTAAAAGCTCTGGGCACAAGATAATGTCTTTTAAACTAAAGCCTACTTTGCTATCTTTTATTTTAAATCAGATTATTGGAAGAATTTGTGAATCATATTCAGGAATTGCAGGTAATGGATGAAAGGATTCAGAGAAAGGTGGAGAAGCTAGAACAACAGTGCCAGAAGGAAGCGAAGGAATTTGCCAAGAAAGTACAAGAGCTGCAGAAAAGCAATCAGGTAAATCTGGAGCATATAGCCAGTGCTAAGCTGCAAAAGTTTTACAAGCATCATATGCTCTGTTAATGTTTTTTGGTACAGTGAGCCAATGTTTGAGATAAAGACTTTAAGCAGTTGTGTGTACTTAATTTAGTAGTTCTGAGCAGTTCCGTAGTTCTGAGATGCAGCACTTGAGAAGCTGATGCCTGGATTCACTGTGCTGTTTACTGAAGTGACCTAGTGTTTCTAGTAAAGTACAGTAAATGGAAATCATGAATTTTGTGTCTATGTTCTCCCAGGTTGCCTTCCAACATTTTCAAGAGCTAGATGAGCACATCAGCTATGTAGCAACTAAGGTCTGTCACCTTGGTGACCAACTGGAGGGGGTAAACACGCCACGGCAACGGGCTGTGGAGGCTCAGAAGCTGATGAAATACTTTAATGAGTTTCTGGATGGAGAGCTGAAGTCTGATGTTTTTACAAACTCTGAAAAGGTAAGAGCTGTCAGCGGGATGAAAGCAGTTCAAAGCAATAAGCAGTACTGCCCTAATTACAAGCTGCTACCATGACTTACCATGGTCAGACTTCAAACCAGTGAGTGACTGACTTGTTAAAGTTTCATTGTTCTGAAATGTAAATGAACAACACTGAGCTGCAGATTGCTGATAAAGCGTTTGTATTCAGTGATGCTTAATGTGGCAATGTGACATTTTTCATTTTATGAGAATATCAGAGATTTGAGAAATGCTGGGAGGGCAACTTTAAAGTGCATACAATATCTGCCTTTTTCCTTTGAACCCCTTGCCTCAGATCCACCCTGTAATGCAGAACGTTTCTGAATGCAACTTCTTTGTGAAACTTCACTGTGTTGGGTCAGTCCACTGGCCTTGGATACCTTTTTGTCACAGCATGCCTTTCGGCTTTGTATAGTCCTGTGGTTATGTCTCCACCCTCTGATTTAGAGGAACTGGGCAGGAAAACTTCAAAGAAACCTTTAAACATTTTGTTTTTTGTATGCTTCAAGAGTAGGATCGTAAACCGAGTAGAATCTGAATGGTGTGGCCGATAGAAGGGAACTGAAGAAATAGTCCCTAGCTGTAGGGAGGAGGGCACATATGATATTCCCCTATGCAGGATATAAAATGGATAAGTAAAGTTTTTGAGGTGTGTCCTGAAGACTCTTCCCGCTCTCCTGTGTAGCGGTGTACGTGATTGCACTCAGGAAAATTTGCAGTATGTGGGAACAGCAAAAATTTAGTTTGCACATTCAGCAACAAGTATGTCTGTACTTGAAATATATCTCATAAAGGACCTAAGAACAGGTTAATAGTCATCGCCTCACTACTTAGTTGAAGGTGTCTCTCAGGGAAGTGAAAAACTAATGATCTTGTACTCCTAAGCAGTCAGTTCCACAGTGACTTTTGAATCACGATTTGTGGATATATGGTAATTACGGGTTGATAGTTTGCCCTAGCGAAACAGAGCGCAAAAAAAAATTTCTGACTCCCAAGGAAAACGGAAAGGTTTCAGCATAACAAAAATTGTTGTTTCCAGATCTGTTTAAGACTTTTTTTTTTTTTAGTAGAAAAGCATTTTACTGTCTTAAACATATATTTCATTTTATTCCTGTGCAAAGTATTTTATGACAGCGTGGTATTAAATATCATAACACAAGTTAAAGAGAATTACGTGTATTCTGTTGAAGGGTCTCTTATTCAGAATTCTGCTTTTACTCTACTAATAACTTAAAGATTGATAATTTCTAGTGGAGGATCTCAGAAGACTATGGTACATTAATAAAGTAAGCCTGAAAAGTGGCAAACAAATTAATCCTTATATATCTTGAAAAATAATAAGACATTCAACAAATCTGGAGAAAGAGAAGTGTAGTAAAGATCAGATGTCTTGTGTTAGTCTGGAGGAGGTATGTGGGAACACAAACAAGATTTTCTGGGTATGAGTTGTGCTGTACAGATTGCTTTCAGTCAAGGTGAGTTAGTTCTGTTCAGTAACTTTTTGCCTCCTAATTTAAATAGTAAATAGTGTTTACAAAAGAACCTGCCTAGACATATGCTATGAGATTTTAATGCATCTTTAAGCTAAAACTAGATTTGAAGTATGAGACAGTAACAAATATCCTTAACATTAAACATCAATGCTTGATGGTGTTGTTCATCAAACTGGTGTGTTTTTAGACATTGTTTTGGAGAATATTACGACTTTTTGAACTGTACAATCCCTCAAAAAAGCACATTTTTTTTTCCCTAAGGCATAGAGACAGGGTATATGGAGAAAGGATAGGCGGAAAGGGATTACAATGTAGTTGTTTCCTAGGAAATTCATGTTTTTTATGAGCAGTGTCAGTTCTTACAGTCTATTGGATCCTTACCTCCTCCTCTTTTTTTTTTTTTTTCCCTACATTTGTAGTGTTGCTTCTCGCGTTACTTTCTTCTGAGTGATTGCTCTACTGAGCAATTTCTAACTTCTGTGGTGACTTGTTTTCTATTTTCTGTTGTGTCCCATACTACGTATTGCATGTCTTCATCCTCTTTGGAGTCCTTATTGCCCTTGCACTGCCAGCTAACTAGCCCTCTGTGCTGAAGAGCGTTAAAGTGAGCAAATTACACCAGTTAAAACAATTCTGTTTTCAAAATTATCCAGCGGTTTGTTTGTACTTCGTGCAACAGTATTGTCTTGTGTTCATGTTTAACATGTTTGCTGTTATCCTTAAATCCTTTTCTGCATGTCTCTTCAATGCTCAGTGTCGTTCTATTATGCCTTTTAACTTCTTGTTCATAATATTATCTGTTAAAATTTTTCTCTTACTGTTCTTTGTCTTTCTGATTTTTTTTCCAGATATAGTATAGCCTTTAAGTTATATTTTACAGAATCCATATTTATTTTGATTTAATAGTTTACAGAAGCCTGATTCAATTAAAAATGAAATATGTCCAGATTTGAGCAGAAACCATGGAAAATTGATTTGTCATGGCTTCTCTTATGCATAAGAAAAGGCCCTGAATTCAATAAAATCTAAGAAGTTAGTTGACAGCTATTGTGTGAAAAGAAGACAGAACCTGTGTTTTTGTAACACTGGCAAATACCTGCTAATATATAGACCATCATAATGACATCAGTATTGATCAGGGTTGTTAGTTAGGTATTAAGGTTGCTGTAGGCTAATAGAAATAACTGCTATTTCATTGGATTTATTTGAGAAGCAGAGCTGCTTTTGAGAGGCTGTTGTAAGCTAACAGTTCAAAACCTAAGCTTCTCTTAATAAGCAATATGGATGTACTGAATTGGAATTCCTGTTTTTGCTGAACAGCCAAACTGATGTGGTGACTGTGCTATGTATTCTTGTGCATGTGCCTCGTGCTGTTCGTGAAAAGCTTTAATCCAAGCCCCACATAAATGGTGGGGGAATAGGGTTTCGTTGCTTCCTTCCCAGTCATTCCACTTCTCTGGAACGTGACCAGCAGGAAAATAAGATAAATTGCATGTTCTTCATATATTCCCTTGTGTCAAGTCATAAAGTAAAGGCTTTGCTTGGATGAAGTAGCTTCCTTTGCTGCCTTCAAGGTGTCCTCCAGTCCCCAAGACTGAATAGTGAAGCCTCTAAAACCATCACAGAGCCATGCCCAGTTCGAACCAGTTTACATTCAGTGAGCTAAATCCACTTCCGTTTCAACCAGCTGTGTTCAGCACGTCTTCAAGAGATTGAAGATAGGTGTTTCTGTAGTTTTAGTCAACCTAGCGAAACAGTCAGTAAATGCTGCTTGGGTGCACTTCTCATGCTGACTGATTGTGGAAAGATGAATGCTAAAAGGTTTTGCCATCCAGGACAGAGCAGAAGTTTGCATGCTGCCTTAACTTTATTTGAGAGTTTTCTGTATCCGTGAAGCTATTTGTATTTTGTAGATGCAAGACAAACTAGCTTTTGTCTTAATCTTTGCTGTGACTCTCAGAGCTTATGATTTTTATATATAAACTTCCATTTCTGCTTCCTTGGGAGGGTTTAGGTACTCCAGCTATGCTCTGCTTTGATGTCTTCCTCCCCCGCACCCTCCCCACCTTGCCTCTCCATGTCCCAGCTTTTCTGGATATGGTTGTTCTCTGCTTTCTTCAAATGAAAAGAATTCACCAGTGCTTTCCCTGAAACGTCTGAAAGTGTGTCGCTAGTCGTTTCACTTTTGAGTTCAACAGAGATCTCTTCTGTAGTTTCTTCTGGTTAGGCGTGAGTCATTAAGACTTTTACCCTACTGCCTTGTAAAGCATGATGTTGCATTTCAGCCAGCTGTGTTTTATGGTTATATACTTTATTCTTAAATGGAAGGGTGCAAATTGACGGGGGGTCGCTTTAGCCACGTTATGGTCTAATCAGCCATGACGAAACTTTGGTCTGCAAGCTCTACAGTTAAGTTGGCATGGTGCAGTGATGAGCTACTTGTCCAGGCAGCTTGGGTCTGTCTCTGCCCAACTGCAGAGACGTGCCCAAGGTGAATATATTTATATAAATATAAAAAAAGACCTTTTATCTTCTTACTGACCCATATAATTTTATATTGAAAAAGTTGATCTCAGTCGTCAGGAACCTGAACGGGATGATCCTTTACAACTTTAGAAATAGGAAGTACGTATATGAAAACAGAACAGTGGAGAGGGAAGAAAGGAATACCATCTCATCAAACCTTCTTTAGTGATTGTCTGTCATGTTTTCCTCCTAACAGATTAAAGAGGCAGCTGATATTATTCAGAAACTGCATTTGATTGCACAGGAACTGCCTTTTGACAGGTAAAATTCTATCTGAATATCTTAAATAAATAAATAAAAGAACTTTACATAGCCATAACTTTCTGATACTTCTCCTGTCTATTGTTTTTAAGTGCTTTACTTTATTCAGTGATTCGTGTAGTAGCTTTTGAGGTGGATTGTGTGTTTATTTCTCGCCTCTATTCTTGAATTTGTGTTCACGTACTCAAGTTGTAGGATCGTCTTTACCTATGCATCTTAAATTCCTTAACAGACTTCTAATAGGATAATTTCAGTATGCTGACTTAGTGCTCGATGTAAATTAGATGCTTGTAGGTTTTCTATGGGTATAAAACATGCAACTTTTTTGTCATCTTTGTGTTACCTGTTTCCCTTTTTAAATAATTGAGTGCCTGTTGTTAATGTGCTAGGATTTCTGTGATTTCTCATGGTATGAATTTGATTATAAATATGGTATTTTTTTGAGTTAACAGGTTTTCTGAAGTAAAATCGAAGATCGCAAGTAAGTTATCTGTGCAACTCAATCCATATTGCTATATTTGAATCGTTAAAGCTGATTAAAGAAATATGCAATACTGTCAGTATTACAGTCTTTGGCAGTGCTTGTATTGCATAGCCTGATGGATTTTTTATTGTTCTCCCTGTTCTTCTCCAGGTAAGTACCATGATTTAGAGTGCCAGCTAATTCAAGAGTTTACCAGTGCGCAGCGGAGAGGTGAAATCTCCAGAATGAGAGAAGTAGCAGCAGTTTTACTTCATTTTAAGGTAAAAACTAAGGGGTTTAGTGCTTTAAAAAGAGAGAGAGGAGAGGAAAAAAAAAAAAAAAAAAGCTAAAATGCATGCATATTCTAAGTGTAATATTTCCACAGGCACAATCCCTGCATCAGATAACGTGTGTGCCTTTAGAATTACTCTATTGTTCCATCTGAAATCAAATGTAGGGAGATAAAGGAGGCAGATTACGGGGGATCAGAGGCGGTGTTATTAGAGACCTCGTTCTGAGATAATCTTGTCTTATATGTGTGTGCCGAATTTGGGTTTTGAGGAAGGAGTATTAAAACCTGCAATGTATGTCCATGGAGAGTGGTGAAAGTATAGTTATGTTAGATTTGTGACAAAAATGGTTTTGAAAGAGTCCACGTTTGTGATTTTTTTTTTTGCAAAAAAAAAAAAAGAAAACCGTACGTTATTTCCTTTATTTCATTCTATGCTGAAAGCATAGAAAACTTGTTTTAATTTTGAGTTGTTTTTCTCCTTCCGTAGGGCTATTCCCATTGTGTTGATGTGTACATAAAACAGTGTCAAGAGGTAATGCGTTTTACGTTTTACTTGCATCTCTTTGGGTGTTGATTTATTTAATCTTATAGGATTTTGTAAACATATTTTGAAATGTGCTTCTAAAACCCTAGGGTGCATTTTTGAGAAATGATGTGTTTGAAGATGCAGCCATCCTCTGCCAGCGAGTGAACAAGCAAGTTGGAGAAGTCTTTAGCAATCCAGAGACTGTATTAGCCAAACTCATTCAAAATATCTTTGAAGTTAAACTTCAGGTATTTCAAATTTTAGCATGCTAAAGTTAGTTGAGGAAGCTTTCATTTGTAAGTGTTATTGCTGGTATTAACAATTACTGAGAACTTATAATATTTGTGATCTTATATGAAGGTGTAAAACCGTATCTGATTGCTCTGTAACAGTTCAGACAGATAATCAGGGTTACTTCAAATAAAGCTGCTTGTACTCTGAATGCAGTGTGACTGAAAAAGCTCAAAATCAGTTATGTAAACTTACAAGGAAATCAGTGTATTTATTAGTTAATTCATAAGATGTTACAGACACATTTGATTTCTTCTGTAGGCCCCCTACCCAAAACATGTCAGGAAATGAATTTCACGTTTAATAAATATCTTTAATCTGTTCACTTTTGGAATTGGTTTTCACGTGTGAGGCGAGCATTGAGTAAGCAAAAATAACTTATGCTGGGAATGTTGTCCCGTAGCTAATGCAATATTTATGTGAAAGTCTGGTGTAGTTGAAAATGCTAAATTTGTTGTCCTGTGAATATACTCACTTATGTGTGTAAAGTTAACCCAGTGTGGTTATTCTCTCCGTCAACAATAACACTGATGTAGAGATTGAGCTTGGGTTTCATGCCAAATTTGTGCATCAGTTCTGACTTAATATTTTATGTCAAATATTCAATAACGTGGAGGCTACAAGCTTGCAACTACTCTGTGTATTTATTAAGATAAACAAGTATGTAAGTGGAGCTGCACATCTCCTTTGTCTAGTCTGAACTGCAAAAATATCTCTAGGCCTCCAGTGGTTTTGACTTTTTATAGTTTTTTGTGTTTGTAGGTAAAGCATATTTTCAAAGCTTTATGTCTTTTGTCATCAGCTCACGTGCTACTCCTTTGTATTTTCGAATTATTTCTTGTAAAAGATATCTTTTAAATCTATATCTCTAGGTAATGCAAGATCTGTAAATTAGCAACTGAAAAACAAAGAATGTATGAATTACCTTACAAAGATAGATATCTACTTTGTGGTAAATTCCATGCAATCTAACAAGTAAGGGGGATGAACTGTGGTTGGCGCTTATTCTTCTAACGGCTATTGTACCTAAATTTTACAGAGTTATGTAAAAGACCAGCTAGAAGAACACAGGAAGTCAGATGCAGAACAATACCTTAAGAATCTCTATGATCTATATACGAGGTATATACACATTGATGATGAAATTATTGTTGTAGATATCCTCCTGTTACGATGATTTCATTCCTAAAAACATTTAAAATAGTTACTATTATTTTCAATAGAAAGTATCTACTATAGTGATCTCGGAGAGAAAGAGTAATTTGCCTTTTTTTAACTTTTTTTTTTTTTTTTGGTTTTTGAAATTTTCCAAAAGCCACTCCTCTCCATCTCACCTAGTGACTTACATGACTGCAGTTGTATTGTACATAATGAAATGTGAATTATGCAGAGTTTGCTACTTAAACGTACAGTTGCCAGAAGTCCTAATTGTGATCAGTATTCTGTTGTGCTATGTGCTTTATAAACCTGTAATGGTGTAATTCATACAAATACAACCTTTTCTTCCTCTCCCCCTTCTTTGTTTCTTTTGCATGAAGAACTACTAATCTTTCAAGCAAATTGATGGAGTTTAACTTGGGTACTGATAAGCAGACTTTCTTGTCTAAGCTTATCAAATCCATTTTCATTTCCTACTTGGAGAATTACATTGAGGTGGAAATTGGCTATTTGAAAACGAGGAGCGCTATGATTCTGCAACGCTATTATGATTCCAAAAACCACCAGAAGAGGTCCATTGGCACTGGAGGGTGAGTTAGTTTCTTCTGTGAATTTTTTCTTTTAAAGTGGAAGGGAGGTGGTAAGGGGGAGAAAAACAGTGATTGTCTTGTCGGGTGATCAATGTGTGGTGATCAATTGTAAAAGAGCAGGCTTGTAAAATGACCTGAAGCTTTTTGTATTTTGTTATCACTGTATTATTTATATTACCTCCTGCTAAAAGTGTTTTGCTCTCAATACATGTGAAAGGTGATGCATGGTATTTATACACTCATGGCGAATGAAAAATACCAGTTAAACCTATGTTTTAACTTAGGATCCAGATCCACAAAAGGACTGAAGCAAAATTAAGGTACCTAAAGCATGTGTATGTTTGTATCTAAAAGCATACATTTTTTTTACACCTGCCCAGGTCTTGTGGCCCCTGCCTAAGACCTAGGAAGGGGAAAAGACCCTAGCGGTGTCAGTGTAAAAGCTCTTAATAAGCCAAGAAGATGCAATGGTCTTAGAGAGAAAGTTAAAACACGACTTTGTTATGCTCAGGGTAGAGAAAATCTAATTAAAGGAGCGGTGAGAGGTGGGAAAGGAAGAATTAAAACTGGTATGAAACAAAAGTGATGAGATTGCTGCATCTCTCAAAGAGCTGCTAGGTTTAGTATGTCAAGAACGAAAAGTGATTTGGAGAGAATGACAACAACAGTAAAGTAATTAAATGAATTAAAAAACAAAGATGTGAAAATTTAATTTTCTTGGGGAAAATTAAATTGATTGTAGTGACTGACTTTATGGGTTGCTTTATGCATGCAAAAGTGTTGGAGCATGCTTGACTAAAAAAGGACTGCCTAGACAGTGGATGTGGATGAGAGGATTTTTGAGCGTGGAGGAGATGGAAAACTTGCAGGAACGTTTAGAAAGTAAAACATGGCAGAATGTATGGAGGCTATGCTTCCCTCACAGAGCATAGATCCCGTAGTATTCAATTGAAATTACTTCTCTTCTGCAGTGGGGGGGGCATAGCTGTTCCCACGATGTGAACGTGCCATAGTAGAACACTGCTGATTGTGTGATCAGAGGTGGTAGTTTAGCATTTGTTAGCTTTTTTTTTTTTTTTTTTTTAAGCTTTGCAAGACTGTCCTAATGCTTGCACATCCTAAACTGTGTCCTGGGTTCTGTTTTTGTAAGTTAACAGCTAAAATATCCTAAATATGTTGTTGAGTTTGAACATCAATATTTCCATCCAGTGAAATCATCTTCTGGTGTATCTGTGTTCTAGTATTCAAGACCTCAAAGAGAGAATAAGGCAACGTACTAACTTACCGTTGGGTCCAAGTATTGACACCCATGGAGAAACTTTTCTCTCGCAAGAAGTGGTGGTTAACCTTTTGCAAGAAACTAAGCAAGCTTTTGAAAGATGTCACAGGGTAAGTTTGCTTCCTCTGATCTACATTAGTAATATAATTTTGTGCATCAAATTAAATCTGAGGTTGTACATGTCAGTTTTCAGCTGACGTATAATAGGGAGAAAGGAAGAAGCTTGGCCTATTGGACAAATTATCTTTTATATTGTTGAATGGGAGTCATGGTAGAGGGTGAGGATTTGCTTTTTAAACATGAATTTAATTTTACCTTTTGGTTTTTAATACTGTGCATTTTTTGAACTATTTGGAAGAAGTGGAGAGGTTTAAACTTGTGTATCTGTTGTTTTTATTGCTAAGCTAGACTCAAGAACTGAGAAAGATCTAGTGTAAAAAATTTTTGTTCTTATTTTGAAAATACAAAGAATAGTTTCCCAACAAATGTTCTCCTGTGTCAAATGTATCATATCTTCTAGCTTTAGAGAATATCACCAATAAGCAGCAGAGAGGAGTAATCTTTACTCTTGCACTGTTTACCTTGGTAATCCTTTACTGTTAGTGAAATGCTTACATCTAACACACAAATGTATTTTTCTACTGACTAAATCACTGATTTTACTGCTGCCTATTTGCTCTTTCATCTGATTCTTTAATGTAAATGAAAACCCTTGAAATTTAATTGCAAACTCATTAAAAAATATCCCTAGCCTTGATTGAAGCTAAACGCATTTATTTCTAACAGTATTTTTATGCTTCTAACTTTCTAAATTGTCTTAGTGTAGAAAAGCTTTTAACACTTTAGATATTGGAAGCTTTAGTATTTTAGCTATTTAGAGGGTAGCAGATGTAATGAAATAGAAGTACGGCGCTGGTACTTGTACACACTCAAATAACCATCTAGTTAGCAGTGAAAGCCAGTGACTGCAAGACCCATGGGTGGATCATCATTTTTCTCAATAAGATAGTTGCTAGTAAGCATTATTAAATTCCTGATGTGAACTAATTTTTTCCAATTATGCACAATTTTTTTTTCCTGTTAGGATCAGATTTTTTTTATACTTGGTCTAAATCTGGGGGTGGGTGTGTGTATATATATATGTGTAAAGCTACTGCAAAACGGATCTTGTGGTGTAATGAAATTTTTAGAATTAAAGGCACTTAAAAACTTCTGCAGTATCTTACACACTGCTAGGATTTTGTATCTGGTCAGGGCAACTCACTAGAAGGGAAGTTAAAAATTTCCCTGGCCAGCAATTTGTAATATATCTATGTCTCATGACAGGTATGTGCAGGCACACTGTGTGCCCCAACTGTGACTGCTTTAGGAAAAATACATTGGGAATGCTGAATGTAATGGCATTTTGAAAAACTTCTGTTTGAAAATCTCCATACCAATTTTTTTTTTTTTTTAAGGTATACAGCTATAGTCTTTAGGGGTTTTGTTACATAAACTACCTTGAATTGTGAGAGTAAGCTTACTTAATCTTAACTTTATGAAGGCTTTCCGTAATTACTTATAAAACAAAGCCCTACTTCTTATGTGCCAAAGCACTGTCACATTTTTCATTCTGAAAGGGATTTACTGACAGGTTACTGTCTAAAATCCTATGCGTCTTACAGCTCGTTAAGGAACAGATGCTGTGTGTATATGTGAACATTGCTTCACTTAATATACATTTTCATGCTCTGTTGACTGCAGTTGAAACGCTATAAAAGTAGCGGAGGTTTGGTCCATGTTATTTTTTCTGAAGTAGTGTGACAGCAATAAAAGAACAGCTGCGCTAGGCGAAACTGGAAGTCCGTCTAACCCAATATCCTGTCTCTGTCTGTGGCTAATGGCTGAAGCTTAAGGAAAAAGAAAAAAGACCTCTTCTCAGCCTCCAGCAGTGTGCAGTTTTGGTACTTCCTGAGCCAGAGATTACATCTGGGCCATGCATTTTAATGAGCCTTGATGAATCCATCTTCCTTAATCTGTCCAATGTTTGTTTTTCTTTTTTGAAACTTCCTTATACTTTTGTTTTCCATAGCATCCTGTGGCACATTACTCTTTGGGTATCGTTAATCGAGAAATAGCTTCAGTTTACTTTTTGGTGCCGAAGAGCTTGTTGATACGAAGGGCTGTTCCTGAGTAGTTCTCTGTGTGGACGCATCTAATTTGGAATAACACTCCAATTATTCTGGAATACTTGTTACATTTTAAGCTGATCCTCTACTAATATCAGATAAATTTTCAAATATATGTAAAACTGACCTTTAGGATCAAAACTTTTCTTTTTCTTTAAAGCTCTCTGATCCATCTGACTTACCGAAGAATGCTTTCAGAATTTTTTCTATGCTCGTAGAGTTCTTATGTACTGAACACATTGATTATGCGTTAGAAACAGGCCTTGCTGGTAAGTATAATTTTGCTTTTGGTGGGAAGAAAGTGGCTTTGAATGTGTGGTACTTAATAAAAATATTTTCCGAGCACTTCATCTCACTACTTAATTGATTTGCCTTGTTCAAAACCTATGGACTAAAAACTGGTTGTTGTGTATTGGGGAGTCAGCATTTAATGTCTTCTAAAGCGTAACTTCCATTTGGGAAACTGGTGCACAGATGGGAAAATGCCACTGTCTTCAGAAAAATCTGTATCACAGAAAAAAGGGCATAGGCAGTCCCTGCCTCTTTCAGTTGTTCTCTTTGCCATAACAGGAGAAGAATTTTATATTAAGACTTAGCTTTTTTTTATAAGAATTCCGTGTATATTTGTAGAGCTGTATGTTTTAAAGGCTGGTGACAGCAAATAAGAACACTGCTTATATTTAAAACAATTAAAATCTTGACAATGAGAACCTGTCTTTCCTGAGTGAAAGTGTGAAACTCATGTTCTGAAGAAAGATTTAGGTTGGTTGCACTGTTTTCGATTTTAGAAATGTTAAAAGCAAGATACACCTATGGTTATGATTATATATCTAGTAATTTTATTGCTACTTGTTACCTTTTTTACTGATCATAGAATTCCTGTTAAACCCAGAAAGGCATGCTAACATTACTTGATGTGTCTTTGAGAAGTACGCTACGTATGGCATCATGGTAAATTTTTTTCAAACTGTAAGCCTATGATTTAGGTGTTTATGGGAAAATTTGGCATATTTTAAGAAGTCATCATGCTAATTAGAACAACTGCATACCAGTATGATCCTGATGAAACCTTCTTTGCTTTAGGCATTCCTTCTTCTGATTCAAAGAGTGCAAATCTCTATTTCCTGGATGTTGTCCACCAAGCCAATACTATTTTCCATTTATTTGACAAGCAGTTCAACGATCATCTGATGCCATTGATCAGGTACTCTTATTCTGATTTACATTTCTTTTGCGAATGGTCACTTTTGGTGAACAAAGCAATTCTTCATTTCTCATCTCTGTTAAGAGGAGTTTATTCTTGGAGTGGTTCCGATTGCTGTTGTGGGAAAGATAAAATGCTGTAATGGGTCTGGGGAAAGGAAGAAGGAAAGTTGCACAGATCCATACATCGGAGAACTACGGCGGGAGATGGAGCTCCAAGGATGTTGATGTGGGGAGAGATGTTTGCTTCCCAGAGATCTCACTACTGCATTGCAGGTCTGAAGCAGAGAGGACTTTTGGCTGCACCCTGGGGTCAGCCGGTGATATCAGGGCTGCTGCGAATTGCTAGGGACTACCACACAACCTCTGCAGAGGAAATGGCTAGCCGTGCCGTGGGAGCCATACACAAACTACATGAAAGCTGCATGTTGTTTAAGAGATACTGGCTGGATACACTTGAGGCAGAGCACACTGATGTACTGAGAATTAGTGTGTGCGTGTGTGTGTATGTGAAAAGCTGGGTTTGCTTGCTAACTTGCCGGGGGCTGGCAGCAGCAGAGAGGCATTATGCTCAGTAGGGACAGTGTTGCCTGAAGCGTATGACAATATTGCCCATCAGCACTCGGCAAATCCCGCTCAGGGTCAGCTGGCTGTTGAGGCTGTTGATTTGTTAATTTGAAGCCAGATAGCTTCACCTAAATTAGTCCTTTCTGAGAAAAACTGAATGGGAAGTCTTCACAAATTCATGTTGGAACAGCTCCAGCAAATAAATTTGTTTGGTGTTTAACTCTTTTACCTCTCAACCCCTTATGCTGTTGTAGTTCTTCTCCTAAATTATCTGAATGCCTTCAGAAGAAGAAGGATATCATAGAACAAATGGAAGTGAAGCTGGATATGGGCATTGATAGGTAAGTAAAGATTTAAACTGTCTATTAATCACTGATACTTGTAAAACCCCTTTGTGATGTAAATTGGCTTTCCTTTTAAGGATGAAGTTTTTCAGAACACACATTTTTTTTCTTTTAAATCCATGAGCACACATTATTCTGTCAAGGAAATTCAAATATTGTCTGTTTGGAGGCTCATGTTTTTCATGGTAGATGTCCGACCTGATATAGATACTTTCAGAAGGACTTCAGTAAAGGATTTTGATCCTGTTGAGAGAATGCAGTAATTCTCATTGAATAATTTTCATTCTGACATTGACATGATTGGCTGATGAGGTTGTGAGTGATTCATTTAGTCTATTTCCATTAGCCCAATTACAAATAAGAGGATACACCTTTCCTACCCATAAAAAATGTAAATGAAAATCATAGCTACTTTGCAGCACGGGAAAGTGACAAACTAGCAAGCTTAATATTAGGAAACAGAACTGTTCTGTGACTGCCCTACTTTGCCCAGAGAAGCATGTGGTGTTCCTTTATTTCCAAATGATGTTATTCAACCTAGACCAAATTACCTAAGCTCTCTGTGGTTCTGTTTTCTCACCATGGTAATGGAAATAAACCTTCCTCTGGAACCTGAGGACTACTTTGGAAATTATCGCCCAAGTTCTTGTACAGATCGCAGCAAACACTGGAGAGGAATGGGAACAGCACTGTGTAGGGAAGAGGGTCATTGCATTTGGGTCCTACTGTGTACCTTCTGCAGAGAGATGAGGAAGAGATTTGATGTAATATGCTTGCAGAGGGCTCAAGGATTTGGTTCTTAAAAGCATTTTCTGCAGCTGCAAAAGAAAGATGGAAGCTATGCAAATAACAGTTGAGGCTTTAGCTGCTCCTGCTAGAAGTGACCTGATGATTTATACAGAAAACTTGAAGTACTTGACCTGTTGAGGCAGCAAGCTGAAATCTAGACAGGCATGGGTCAGTCGTCGGCATCGGAATAATTTGTAACTGTTTGTATAAAATAATTAGTCCCTTAAAAGTGGTAGTAAGACTTAAGAGAAAAGTCTCTGTTGGAAAGCAGTGTGTTCAAATGTTTGTGAATGGAGACTTTAAAACAGTTGTGCCTCATTTTATATATAAAAGAAAGATTAGTTTTGAGATGAATGTTACATATAAAACATGTTTGTGTGCCTGCTTACCTGCCACTTTTTGATGCTGCCTATGCTTTTAAGAATTGATTGTCTTGCTTAGAGGAATGATGTCATTAAAAAAAAGGAGGGAGGAAGGGGAATTTCTAAGCATTGATGGTTTCAACACTATCCGATCTGAGGAAGTCCAAGAGCAGATTCTTGAATGGTATTCAAAGTGATTTTCTACCCCTATAAAAGTGATTTGTTAGCTGAACTAAACTAGTTCGACTGGTTTTCTTTCAATATGTGTTCTGTGTAAATAGCCTTCTGGGTGTTTTTATCGGAAATAGAAATTGGGGAGAATGCAGAGTGTAATTTTTTTCTTTCATTTCTCTTTGTATATGGATTGTTGAAAGAAGTACACCTGAAATGCAAGTCTGAGGTCCATGGATAGAAACACAAATGTAGTCCCTCTTTGGACACATAATTCTCCTCCACTTTCCCACAGAACTCTATTCCTGCAAAGCCTGTAGCCTCATTGTTGCTAATTTCCATCCTTAGAGGAGGTTTTCGTAAAGTGCTTTATTTAAAAAATAAATAGAGGAGGATGGGGGAGTTCCCAGCAAAAGATCTGGGAAAAGTGAGTTGTGCCTGTATCAGTTGCTTTGCTATTTGACCTTTGGGTTGGACTTAAAGTGAGTCGGTGCCCTGACCTTAGATAATGTTCTGAAAAGGGAAATCCTGTGGAGGAGAAAGAAATGACACTGTAAAACTCTACTAGATCTCTGAGAACAAGAGAAATACCAAGCTCTAGCAAGGGACCTTCATTTCGCAAGTGTTTTCTGATGATTTTTTTCTGAATAATACGCAGTACAATCAGATTCTGCTAAACTAAGTCTTGGGAATGCTTCCTTCTGCTGTCAGATTCCCTCAGCAATGAAGAATGCTATCCAGTTTTTCTAGAGAGTTGGATTTAAATGGATTACTTTGCAATTAATGTGTGCCCTTTAGAACCAGCTGGCCAGCACGCTGTATGCTGTGCTCCAAGACAGTGAACAGGGAGCAAAGTGTTTTTAGACTTTTTATTTTTTTTTTTTTGGCTGATTCTCTCTTTCCTAACTTCTTACAGAAAATCAAGCTTTTCTTCTCTAGAGAGTTGCATAGTAACTTTGGAAGAGTGTGCGTTTGTGTGTGTATATTTATTACGTGAAGTATTTCCTTTGACATGTCCTAGCACCCCTGGTTTCTTATAGTAAACATTCACTTTTAGAATATGTTCTGTAAGTTACTCAAATGCTGAGTAGTGAGATTTTTTCCCTTATTGCTTTGTGCCATCTACTTTTGTATAAAATCGTTTTAGTATCTGTAAATATAAAAATCAAGGAAATGAAAATATTCCCCTCAAAACACGGTCTATGTTTGTACCTTTAAAGGACACTGAATTGTATGATTGGACAGATGAAACATATCTTGGCTGCAGAGCAAAAGAAGACAGACTTTAAACCAGAAGATGAAAACAATGTTTTGATTCAGTATACTAACGTAAGTAAACTAAGTTCAGACTCATCAGTATAGCTTCGAACTTGCTCAAGTCATATCAGATAGAAGATGCTGTTTAATAAACATATGCATTTGACAGCATGTGCATTTGATTAACATGCTTAGCTGTTCCATTTTTTACTAAACACCTACAAACTTTGCTGTGGGCTGTTTTTTCAAGCTGAAGAGAAGTGTTAGCAGTTTTATAGGTAGTGTCAGACAAACCAGTAGATGCTGGACAACCTGTCAAATTCTTTTCCCTTCCAAGAGGCCCAAATTAAACTGCTTTATTCTGAACTGATATGGACTATAACTTAATAGAACAGGGTCTTGCAACCGTCTTTCTAGTTGGATATTTGTGTCTTTATGTGGCGATGGAAAGTGCTGCTGAAAAATTAAATTGAAATTATTAATTGCAGTGGCATGATGCTGCTGAAAGTTGAAAGACAGAGCATCTAATGCTCAGCTTATGATCTAGAAACCGCTTTTTGAAAATAATTGACATCTTTTCCCCAGTTGTTTTTAGTAAGAACCCTTTTTTTTTTTTCTTTTCCTTCTTTTAGGCCTGTGTTAAAGTTTGTGGCTATGTTAGAAAGCAGGTGGAAAAGATTAGAAATTCTATGGATGGTAAGAACGTGGACACTGTTTTGATGGAGCTTGGAGTTCGTTTTCATCGGCTGATCTATGAACATCTACAGCAATATTCCTACAGTTGCATGGGAGGCATGTTAGCTATTTGTGATGTGGCCGAATATAGGAAGTGTGCCAAAGACTTCAAGGTAAGCATGTGTAAGTCGGTGATGTACATTCATGTGGAAATTATTTAGTAGAAGACAGTATTTTAAATCAAAAGTTATCTTCTCATAAAATCTTCTATTTCTATTTGAACATCAGCAATCCATATACTGACGTTATACATTCTGTTATCATACTGACAGTTCTTTATCATGTCCTAAAGAGCTGTCTCTTAATAGCACTTTGTTGCTTGCAAGCTATGTGTGTGTATTGAGGAAGTATTGAGTATTTACCTTATTTTGTATTGTATGTATGATTTTTGAATTGAAAGAAAATCTAGGGATTGCCCTTCTGGACAGGACTCGTGGTCCCCGTGCTTCCAGTACTTTCTTTTCCCCTACTGACTATTGCCAAAAGCTTCAAGAAACCCAAATTTGGGGTATGTGGTATAACCTAATCTTCTATCTAAGTCTCATCTAATCATGTTTAGTTAGAGATGAGATCTCTTGAAATTTGAAGTAGTTTTTTTGACTCTTCACGTGTTTATTCATGTTGAGGAGTATCCCATAGAATAGTCTTAAAACTTTCAATCCCTTTCTGAATTTTATCAATGCTGTCTTGTAGCTTTGTCAATGTGTCTTCCTTCCATTAGGAAACAAATTGAGAACTTCTTTCTAGCCTTCAATTTATATATCTGAAAGCAGCTCCATAGCACTTCAAATTTTTATATATTGTTGTATGCCTATCTCATGTTAAATACAGTGAGAAATTGCTGGTTATCCAAGATACATACTTGGAAACCATTTTTGTTTTCACACAATGCTGCCTCAAATGTTATAGATATTTGCCCTTAATGAGAATATAGGTTTACAGTGAGTTTGCTGCATTCTGGAGCATAAAAATTATCTCAAAAACGTTACCTTTAGCATGTTTTTGGTTGGAGGCCACAAATGTTTCAAATCCATTTTTTTCAAAAAGGTCATGTGTTGCAATTAGGGGCTAAGGAAGCAGGACCTTGATCATAAGTACCTCTGGTTTGATGCGTTAACAACAAAAAAAACTCAGCACGTTTTGTTAATGGTCCATTCTCTGTTTTAAAAGAAATAAATCTTAGATTTTTTTTACACACACACACACACACACACACATTTGTATGCAAACCTATGAAGAGAGAGAATGACCAAAGTGAATCCTCTGGAGAAAAAAGGTATTTTGAAAATCTAGATGGGCTTTGCAGAGTCCATGTTGTAAGACTTTACGCAAGTTTTTACTCTTAATACCTGTCTCTCTCTTTTATTCTCTAACCACAGATTCCGTTGGTGTTACAGCTCTTTGATACCTTGCATGCACTTTGCAATCTTCTGGTTGTAGCCCCGGATAATTTAAAGCAAGTTTGCTCAGGAGAACAACTTGCTAATCTGGACAAGAACATCCTTCACTCCTTTGTTCAGCTGCGTGCTGATTATAGGTCTGCTCGTCTTGCTCGTCACTTCAGCTGAGAGCACGGAAAGAAATGTTACACCTTCGGGCAGGCCGCAGTTGTTAGAAAGCATAGGGAATGGTTTCTTACCAAACAGTGGTTGTAATTTTTGTGGGATAATGACTGTTCAGAATAAAGCAGCAGCCATATTTAAACATGGCTCTGTAGAATGTGAGCAGATGAAAATTTGAGTGATATTTCATGCAAGCTAAAGTCCTCCCAGTGATGAATTTCTGCAAAACTACTTGCTAATTTTGCATTGAAAACATACTGATGTAGGAAAGCAAGTGGTGCACTGAAAGTATTTTAGTCTTCAATATTGAATTATCAGATACCATTTGTTAGACTCTAAGTACAGAGCATAGCGTAGGTAATGGATTACATAGACTAGACCAGTGTAGAAACATTCTTCATCATTTTAATGACTTAAACTTCAGCACAGCTAATCATAATCAAATTATCTTTGATTGGTGTTTCTAAATCATTTCTTTCTTTTAAAACCGTATCCTGCTCAATGCAATTTCTTGCTCTAATTAATTAGCTTGGAATTTCTTTGAGATGTAGGAGTAACAGAAATGCTATCCCAGAGAGATGCAATTCATTCATTGTGTAGCATTCTAAACAGAACTGAAGTGGTTTAAAAAAAAATTTTTTTTTGGTTCTTTAGTTTTGTTTTGACCTAATAGTTGAGGGCCCACTGGAATATATTAGTGTTGTGTGATCTGATGACATTCTTGTTGGTTCTGTTTGATACTGGCACTCTGAATTTTATATATGCTCCTAAACTGAATGCAGCCGCCTTGTCTTAGGCGTTCATGTTACAAGGTGAAGGTGCCCATTATTGGGATAAGAGAACTTTTTCTCCTGTCTCTTGTTTTGTATGTAAATAAATTCAGATTATAACAAAATGAAAGGATGAAATGTAGCCTAAGTTGCTCATTTATATGTGGGAGGAATGGATGGTGCCACTAGGAAAACTCTGGAGTTTCAACTGTGCTAAGATGGTTAATCCTCAGTGCCTGAGCCATATAAAATGTTGAAGTTTGCAGAAGCTTCTCTTCCGCTGCTTGTAATTTTAACGTTGGAGACTGGAAACCTTCGTGTCCATTAGGCTTTGGCGTTTATTCAAGTTGCTTCTGAGGTGGACTCATAGTGTGCATACGCTGAACTGAAGCAACAGTGATGTTTGAAAAGTTTAGCTTTTCCACAACCAGTTGAAAATTGTTGTAAATGGAGCTTTGTTTGGAGTGAGCTCTTGTGGAAAACAGGTTGGAACTGCCATGTTTTGTGTCTTCGGAGTGACTCACTTGATCCCTAGACAGATCATCTGTAACACTTTATTTCTATGGTGGGCTCAGTGTACTTTATGAAAATTTTTTTTTCTCCCCCATTGTCAGAGAAGCATTGCTATAAATTTACTTTATGGGTCAAATAAAATTATTTTCCTTTTCTTAATGGTTTACCAGGTGTAGTCAATATTGATAGACTTGTGTGGAATTTTTCTGGGTTGGTTGAAGTTTCTCTGCTTCTTTTTCTATTTAGCAGAGCATTATTTTGGTAAGCAAGAGAATGGATGCCAGATTTTCTCAAAGTATTCTGGGAGACTGGGTGCTTTGTTCAGCTGCATAGCTCTATTCCTCAGCCATGGCAAAGCCACAAAGAGTTTTGGACACTGGAGGAGGCACATGCTTGTACTGCTGCCATTTTTATTTTTTTTTTCCAAAAGCTCTGATGTGAATTCAGATGATACCTCTCTGTTACCTCTGTAACTGAAAGCCAACAATTTTAGGGCTGTGGTTTTACTAACTAATAAAACTTCTTTATACAAAAAAGTGTCAACTTGTAAACACTTAAGGACAGTGCGCATCATCTTAAGACTGCAGATCATAGAAGTGCTTTGGAATTTGTTGTATGATTGTTTTGAATTATTTTAAGGTTGTATGAAATGTACTTATCATATTTCTTGCTTTACTAGCTGTTTCCCATGTATATGCTCGGTGCAATACTTTTCATTATGCCTATTAGGAAGAGGCAGCAAAAAGTAGGTGAATATGTAAACTCTTCCTCATTAAAAAAACATCCCTCCAGATACTTTTTTCTTTTTATTTCCACATTCTTCAAATACCTTTATAATCAATTGTATAAACCCTTCTACTAAAAAAATAAAAATAAAAGTAATTTTACTGACCAAATTTATCACTGGTGTGAGCTTTCCCTTCCCTCCTTTTTGAAAAACATCTCCATGCGTACGCTGAAAGATTTTCTGTTTCTCGAAAAGACTGAGTTGTCGGTAAGTTTACCTTACAATGCAAGTGGGACTGGGATGGGACTGTAATCTTCACCCATTAAATTTATAGCTATTATAGCATGTAATTTAGGAAAATATTTCCAGTGGCTTCTGAAAAATATAAAGTACTACCCAAAATACAAATATGGCTTTTAATGTTCGTGTAATGAGTTAAAGTGTTACCTTTCTAATATTCGTTTCTAGAACATTGGCATTTAACAGGCTAGCAGCCAAATGAATGCTTGAGAGGAGGTGTGTGTACGTGTGTGTAATTATGTTGTCTACAACTGGTGAAAATGGCTTTGCAGTAAACTGTTGCAGACTGGGAAATAAGCTGTGTTTTTACAAGTCCTATAATTTATTTACGTGGCTTTGTATTGTAGTCTGTTTGCATATGCACAGAAGGCAAGAAGGAGCTGGTGTTCTGTAAGAGTACTTTTCAACACAAATAAAATTTAAAATCTGGGAAACGGCAGTGCTTGGAAAAACAGAAGATCTAGATATTTAGAATTAGCAGGTAAGAAGTGAAGAAGACCTTAACTAAAAGGATCTGGAGAACGAGCGGTTTTAAATGAAGTAGCTTAGCACACAGTAGGAGAAGTTTGAAATGTGATTAATGGAAATCTAGCATACACGTGCCATAGGCAAATAAGCAAGACTGGAATTAAAATGTCTTTACAGCTACATTCCCATCCTTAAATGAAGTGAGCTTTTGGAGGAGGGAGACTGGCTTAAATACCTTGAATAAACAGCTCCAATACATCTTGAAACCTTTGGATTCAACAGGAAAAGGCTTTCCGTACTTAAGCGTGGATCTGCTCTGAAGAATAGGTAACCATGCTGTGAATGTCAGCTCTGCTTATTTCTACTGTAAGGAGTAAAAATGCATCAGCAATATGTAGTCTAGTTGGAGGGAAAAAGAATTTGCTAGAGCCGAGCTTATTTTTCTTTCAAGACTACAGTGACCTCGATGATGGTAAGTGACTGCTTAACTTCAGAATAACGCGTTATTGATTGGTAGGAAGTGAGTTTATTTTGTGATCAGTAAGAGAACTTGGGTTGCCTTCCCTTTCCTTCCATTTCTCTCGGCTTCTGCTAAGTTGCTTTAAATCGCTGGTTGCTTCAGTGTTTAACTTATAACATGAAATTTCAGTTGCCTAAAGAGCAATCCTCCACCATCTACTTGGTGCTGTATGTGTTGTGTGAATTGATCGCTCCGTTTCTGTAGGAAATGTGGCAAGTAGATGCATCTTTCAAAGTACCCTGAAGATGGAGAGGGGCCTTATCTGTTCATTTAGAGTCCTGTGCGGTAACCATTGGCCTATTCCTCAGAAGTCTGTAGTTCCAGATTTCTCAAGCCAACGTGTGCATGAGAGTAAATTTAAGGTACGCTGTTTTAGATGCTGCAAAGTTTTTGAAAAAAGAGAGGTGGTATTTGGGTTTTTCATGGCAATAATCATCTTGGATCAGTACTTAGTTGAGCCAGTCATAAACAGGGAAAACAGTCCAGGGTGAGGTGATAGCATCCTTCATACAGGAAGACTGATAACTAATAATCCTTGGTCTAACTGTAGATGCAGATGACAACTCTTCTCCCTTGCACTACCTGTCTCAAGAGCAGTAGGGAGGATAAGCCAGTATTCAGCACAAATGCTACCCTTCTAGAGGACGACTTGAAGGTAGGAGTGTCCTTGCTGTCCTCTTCTTCTGCTGGACATTAGCTTCAAGGCAACTTTTTTTTATCCAATCCCTTAACCTCCGAAACTCAGCCTCAACTCTCTGTAAGCAGACATAGATTTGTGTTTCGCTGTCTATATTGTTGTATTTCGTATGGGCATCACAGGAGAGAAGTGGACAGGTTCACATATTCTGTCTCTCTTTTCTTGGTTGTTTCTACACCTGTTTTAAGGAGGAGAGGGAACTAGATCTCCTCCCCTGTTGTCTTCACAGCTTTGCTTATCTTTTTTTTCCTCCAATCTAATCTTTTTTTGACAGTAGGAAGGAAAAGGAGCATTTTTAATACCATGTCTTCTGCTTATCTTTGAGTGGAGGAAGAACTGTGTTTGCTTGTCTCCTTTTTCAGTTGAGTGGGGTACTACTGTTGATCTCGTACTCTGTATCGGTACAGCCCTCGTTGGATGTGGAAGCCTTGATTTCTACTTTTATTCTATGAGCTTTACTTCCCTGTGCTACATTTCCTTCCCAGTATCCCTCAGGAACCCTCTCTTCCCCTCTGCTACCACACTACCAGAGAGGGAGCACTTTAATTTTGCAGCAGGGATTCTAGGAAATATCCACATACTGTCTAGTGGTTCTTTAGCCACATAGAGCCTAGTGGGAAGAGAAGTTTCGCTCTCTTCCCCTTTATCCCTCTACTATCCTCATTCTTCTTCATCCTTGCAGGTCTCTGTGTCCATGTGCTTTCCCAGTAACCTGGCTGTATAGTGCATTATATGAGACGTTTCCCGTTTCCTGATGAGACGTTCAACCTTAAGAAAAGTGGGAGCCGGGAGGGAAGTGCGTTAGGTATTTCAACTACAATGCCATTAGGTAACGTGCTAGTAGTGTAACATGAGATTTAAAGTTGAGTTATCTCTAAATGGTATCTTTGAGCACAGCTTGATGAACAAAAATGAAATGTTTGATAGTTGAGGATCAAAATGTTTTCAAATTTTCTAATGGAATTTTAGCTGTTCATCCTGATTTAGGATGAAAATAAACTGTAGACTTGCCGATAGCTGTCCCAAATGCTGCTCATCTTTACTGTTACTTCCCTTCTGTGAAGGGAGGAGACCTTGGAACACATGCTACAAAACTGGCTGAGTCACAGGGCTGCCCTTGTTCTTCTCAGCCCTATCGCAACTTCATTTCCAGCCGAGGATAATCATGATATTAAAAGGCACTTGAAGTCTGTTCTGTCCTGTCTTGGTTGCATATCTGCTCCGCCCATTTTGAGCATCAGGCCTTTGGGGACGGAAGCTATTGTTCTGCCGGATGTCCAGCCTCATCAAGGCCACATCTTTGTTAGCCGTCTTACAGTGAGCTTATGATCCCTGTCTTCTTCTTAGGCAGTATTTCCTGCCTAAGCAATTTCCCACGTGTTCCTTCCAGCAATTTCCCACGTGTTTCCAGTCATCTCCCTGCCCAGCTCTGCAGCTGAGAAGGGAGCTTGTGTTGTCAAATGTCACTGTGTTTGTCCTGAGGTCTGGAAAAAACAATCCTTAGGTGATGTCAGTTGTTTCTGTCAGTTTCTGGAGAAGGTGAGCAACACTTGACAAGTGAGGTGAGACTGTGGAGAGGTGTCCCCAGAAGCAATTCACAGGTAGGCAAACTGCACAATGTCAGAACCAAATCGAGGTAAATTACTGCTGTTGAAAGAGAAGGTTACAGTTCACCTCAACTGATGCTGCCAGTTTGAAGTCAATCATTCTGAACTCAGTACTGTATTGACATGTGGTATTTGGCTGCTGTAGAGAAGCCAGCTAACAGGAGCTTTTGTTTGAAACATTTTTATAACATTCATTTTACTGTAAACAATTCATTAAAATAACTTGCTAAGTCTTGGACAAGTGGATTTTTGAAGGTTGTTCATTTTACTTATCCACCCAAAGTCAATTTGAGTATGAATATATAACATTTTACTCATAAAGGCAAGCAACTTCAGAGAAGAGACATTTATTCTGGAGGCATAGATTCAAACTAGACAGCAATGATGCATTACAAATATATAATTATTTGCACTAATATTTGAGCAGGTGGAATGGATTAGTACATGGTCAACATTACACTGCTGATAACATGTATTTTTCTATATTAATATGTACTGTGCAACATGTATTAAAATCGTCAATAATTCATTTTAACAGAGATAGTAATATTTATATTGCTGTGTTCTACAGACAGAAGAGAGCGAATTGTTAAAATGTGCAAAACTGGGCTAGATTGAACTTTCTGTGGGGGAGGGACTTCTTTTTTTTTTTATTCTCATTAAAAAGAACACCTTAACTTCTCTGTCTCCGTCCCTCAATACGTAGTTTTCTAATGGAGAGGCAACTAAAAAAAAAAAGAGTGGTTGATGTCTACGTAGTAAAGAAGAGAATATTCACATCAGTCATCTCTGAGCACCCGACACAAATAGCTGATGCGGGAGGCTAATCCCTGAGGCTCC